TTGGAAAGAGTATGGTTGAATTTGGGGTATTTTCAATAATTTCCCATTTAACTCGTGCTTGCCAGATGTTGTAGAGATGGTAGACTTGAAAAGCAGGTTTGTTTGGATCATTGGTTGTTGCAACAGATGATGAGCATACAAATCCTCGTCCCAATGAATGATTACTGTTTTTATACATAAATTCTCTCTTGTCAAGGTCATGTCTTTGCGGAAAACTAGGAAGCAACAAGCAAATCCACTAGGACAAACTAATTTGACATCAATAGTACAAACCCATCTCAAATGTAAATTACATGCCACAAAGAATCGTGTTTCCACTTCCTATTTCTCAATCATGCTTCATGTACGGGGTGGGGGTTCATAACTGACACGGGGGTGGGTAATTTTTTTAAAACTTTTTTATTCAAGTATGTGAGAGGGTGTTGGCGAGAACCCATACCCCGTACAATTGGCTTAATTCTTTAATTTCTTTGACTTCTCCACTACTGGAATTTACTTGTAGTTACAGCTCCAATTTTGGCTTCTGAACTGCAAATCCATTCTCCACCCAGGCAATATATCCACCTCCCATGTTACTCACATGCTTGAATTCCTGTGGTTTAATGGCTAGTATCAACTCGAAACCAAACGAAAAGACAAAGCGAATATTTGAAAAAGCTTTTGATAAAAAGTTTTAGCAGATTTTGATAAAAATTGATGAAATATGTAGTTGTAAAGTTAATAAAAATCGTGTGTCACGTGCAATGTTTGGTTAAAATTAATTATTAACTTTGACCTCAACTTTTTAATAACTTTTAAGCTATCCAAACAACCGCAAAAAAATGATAATGCAAGGAAATGAAAATGATCAGAATTAACTTACAGCTTTAAGAAGATCAGAAGTTGCATACACAGATCTCACCCCGCTTTGGCAGCCCTTCCAGTGCACATAGAAAATAATAATATTAGAGAATAAGTATGTTTTAAGCAGGGCCAAACGTGTCGTATCTACATATATACATATATTACATATTACAGGTTTACCACAATGAGATGATCTTCCTTGCAGCACGTGGACAGAACCTGCTCCATAAATTTCGGATTTTTAACCCTACCTGAATTTCATTTTTTGAGAAATAAAATCCTTAATTAATAAAATGTTTGAAGAAAAACATTTACACAAATTAATGTTAATATACAAAACCTTGGGGTGTATCGAACATGTAAGGAATGTTGAAGGCCTTCTCCACATGACCCTTCTCAAATTCTTCTACTGTTCTGTTTAAATTAAATTTCACAAACCAATAGTTAAGTATTGTTGCTGAAGGATTAAAAAATTTTACTAAAAAAATAAGATTAAAAATAAAAAAAACCCTCAATCATACAATTCAATTGGTTTTGAGCCCGTTTGACGAGGTTTTTGAAAAGTTAAAAGCTTCTTTCGAACTAAAAAACTCCTTTTGAACCTGTTTTGATACTTTTTTGTGAGTGCTTTGTCTTTGAAGGAAGACTGGTAGTTTTTCAGCTGTTCTACTAGAAGCAAAAATCCGGCCAAACGGAGTTAAAGCTCAAATAAAAAGTCGAGTGCTTTGTCTTTAAGCCCCTTTTCGGCCCCATTATCGTACATTTTTTATGGTTGAAAATTTTTAGAACGGTGATTGATGGGAGAATGTGTGGTGGAAAAATAGTGAAAAATTTTAGATTTGTGTGTAATATTATTTTATTTGATGAATGTGTGGTTGTAATGAAGAGTGAAAAAAATTTAATGTAATCTAATAGAATTTAATGGGGCCAAACAGGGGCTAAAGGAAGACTGGTAGTTTTTCAGCTGCTCTACGAGAAGCAAAATTCCGGCCAAACGGAGTTAAAGCTCAAACAAAAAGTCTGAGTGCTTTGTCTTTAAAGGAAGACGGGTAGCTTTTCAGCTGTTCTACGAGAAGCAAAATTCCAGCCAAACGGAGTTAAAGCTCAAACAAAAAGTGAGTGCTTTGTCTTTAAAGGAAGACGGGTACGGGTAGTTTTTCAGGATAAGCAAAAATCCGGCCGAACAGACTTAAAGCTCAAACAAAAAGTCTGAGTTTCAAAATTAGCAATCTCGAGAGCCACCATAACATGTTAAATGTCAAAAAGCAATCATTTATATATACAACAGAGATTCCTAATTTTACAATACCTGACATCCAGATAGCGGTGGCCTGAATTTAGGAGGTTTTTAGCTGCGTGTACATCGACGGTGATCACCTTAGCTCCTGAACTACAAAATAGAATCACAAAGACAAAGAAAACCCAAAATGCCCTCATGTTTGAATTATATATTCGAACAAATATTTATTGCAGAGATACCTTATTTGGTGATCCATGAAATTGGAGCTATCTGTGTATATAAAGGTGTTGGGGCAAGTGGGAAATTTTTTAATTCAATTTGCTGTTTGATGGATTGGGAAGAAAACCAGCGGAAGGAAGAGTTTTATATACAAAACCGGGCGTTGAATAACGATGGTAATAGGAATAAATGAAAAATTGCATCATTGGGGTTTCACTTGTTGCTTCAATAGTAAATTAGTCTCACAAGCAAGAATTTTAATTTAAATCAAAGTTAACAATTAATTTTAATAACATATTTTATGAAATTCACAACTTCATAATCATACATTTCATCGACTTCTATCAAAATTTATTAAACCCACCAAATAGGTGCATAGAAAATCTAAAATGCTCGAATTAAAACGTCTGACTTGAAATTCTTAAGTTACTTTTAAGACAAAAATTTTTTTTTTAAACATATTTGAAGAATTATCCAAAAGTATTTTATCTGGTTAGAAGAGATTTTAGAAGAAAACGATGTAAGATAGTTTCCTTAAAAAGTTCTTTTACAAAAAACGGAAGCAAAAGCATAAGAGCCTGTCTGCTAAAAATGTTATGGTGCTAGACAGTAAAATTCCAACTGTTGAAAATCCACTCACAGCCGCAGAAATTGACTGGCCATCTCACAGCTGGGCCCCATCTTGCCTCCAAACGGTAAGAAAATTGTCATACCAACGATCAGAATTTTGATCTTAATTCCCTCCAGACACACTCTAAATCTTGTTAAACTATTAGAAATTTATTTAAAATTTGGACGATTTTTCATTACTAGAAGTCTAGAAGCGGATTGTTCAATGGTGGAAGATTATTTTGTTCCTTTTTAAAGGTTGAAAAGCAACTTTCTAGTAGTAAGATAGGTTGAGGACTAACTTTGCAATTTTATCCAATAATGCTAAATCCGCATACCGCATTTGTGAATGCACGTCATGCTTTTGGGTAACGTCCACAAATTGCAGTTTCCCACGGAAAATGTGCCACGCGGTCAATTACCATTTGCCATGAGAAGATAGCAAAAAAATTGAGTGGCCGCTTGCCCATCAATAAATCTATTTATACAAAGTTTAGTTACAAAGTGTGTTGACAAAATTTAGATCGTTGATTTCAAATGATTTGAAAATCTATTTTTAAAATGATTGGTGTACATGTTGTTTTGTAAACCAATTTTATAACCGAACTTTGTACATATAGCATAACTCATTGCCCATACAAGAAGATCAGAATCCTGGCTTGCATGAGTTGCATCTCTCACGTTCTTTCTAAAATTATTTTTTTTATATATTTATTTTCAATCAAACATTTACATAATAAAATATTTAATACATAAGCTAAAAAAAAAAAATTCTATTCTTTAATATACACTCTTTAAAAATTCACTATTCATGTGACAATATTTTTTTAAAAAATTTGACCGTCAAACGGGGGCTTAGTGCATGCTTGGCTGAGCTTTTTAAGTGAATGTATAAACTAGCTTAGTCGGTCTGCGTCGATTCATGATTCGAGCTTGACATGCATGATAAAATTTTAGCCCCTATTTGACAGTCATTATTTCAAATCTCTTTTTTTAAATACGCATTTCAACCACACATTCATACAATAAATATTTTGTATGTAAACTCAATTTTTTTCTACTTTTTGAATACGTTTTTCAAAAAATCACTATTCAAAATTCCAGTTTACCTGAATAATAGTTGCCAAACAGAGGCTTTTTGGAGTCTAGATCGAACCATTGGCTTATTGGGAGTAATGGGTCGATAAATGTTATTAGCATCCAATTTAATTTAAAAAGAAAAAGGAACAAAATTTTATAATATTTTTTACGGAACACTAGTGTCCAACTGACTAATTGGAGAAGAGTAAAAGTTCAACTTAGCCCATGTTTGATATATATTCTTTCAAAACTCATTTTCAACCACATATTTTTCATCACATCAATAATTTTTCCTTACTTTTTAACCACATATTTTGTAACGATCCGGGTCCCACTTAACGGGCTGTCCCGACCATTAGATCGACGACGTACTGTCCCCACTGTACCAACATGAGTCTTTTCAGCATACTTTGTCCTCACTCGCACGCTCCCCGAGAAAACTTCTTACGGGGTCACCCATCATAGAATTGCTCCAAGCCAAGCACGCTTAACTGTGGAGTTTCTAATGATGGGCTTTCGAAAAAGAAAGTGCACCTTGTTGGTATGAGTAGTACCTATCAAATTTTTTAAGTTTTCCTGGTCTGGGTATTACAATCACCCCCATTAGATTCGCGACGTCCTCGTCGCGCTTGATATATCTAAGGATCTGTTGCCAGGCG